AAAGAACGGGCACGCAGGCCCAAAAAAAAATGTGAACGGGCACGCAGGCCCAAAACAAACATTAACGAGGCACGCATGCCCCACCACTATCTCACAACTCGGCTTCCCCCGAGCTACCATCACCCACAACAGGAGAGTCGGGCGGAGGCACGACCTGACCATCGATAATCTGCGACATATGGCTCACCCCTTCAGTGTTCAGGCCGGGATTTAACAAGGAAAGTTGGCTGACCGCGGCTTCGAAGCCGTCCACCATAGCTCCGACACAGTCCCCCTCGAGAAGTTGAATACGAGCGACCAGTTCCGATCGACTCCTCAGAAGAGCCGTGTCCTCCGACTCATCCTCGGCAGGAAGCATAGCAGCCTTTAGGTCCTCGATCTCTCTGGCAAGGCGCCCGTTGTCGAGTTCCAGTCGTTCACGATCCGCACGAAAAAGGTCTCTCTCCTCGGCCAGCTTCCCCGAGCTCTCTCTCTCAAGAGCCAGCAACTCTGTCTCCGTCGCCAGTAGCTCGGCTTGCTCGCGGAACATCCCCTCGGAGCGCTCCAGAGCAGCCTTCAACTTTCGCGAGCTCGAGTTGAGGGCAGTTTTCTCCTGTTCCAACTCTTTGATACGGTCGGCATCCTCCCCCTCCTCGGCCAGTACAACGGCCATTTCGACCATCTTCACCAGCCCGGCCATATTGGCGGCCAGGTGTCTTCTCCGGCTTTCCTTGTTCATCCGGCGGATGGTTTCAGCTTCGTAAGGATTCACGGACAAAGGAAATCCCTCGAAGAAACCCTCCTCCTTAAAGCAAGGGGGCAACCCGAAGGACCTCACAGTGTTGGAGTCCTCGCCGACTTCCGGCTGACTTTCCACCCGATTTCTTTTTCTTTGTATCAGGTCGGTGTGTGGCTCGACCTCCTGAACATCCGGAGTCCCTCCTGAAGCAGCCCCCGAGCTAGGTGGCGAGTCCACCTTCGTCGCCTGAGAAATGTCCGGGCTATGTGGCGGGCCCATCCTCGTCGCCTGAGGAGGTCTCACCACCCTCTTATTCACCTTCCTGTCACAGGACAACTTCAAGAGCCTCTCCCTTCGTCCAGCCATCGAACCTGCACGAAAGAACCCGGGTTAGTGCCGAGCAAATAAGCAAACAAGTAACAAGTGAAGAAATTCAAACAATAAACGACCTAGCAAACGTGCAGCCTGCCCAAAGGACTGGCACTCCACGAGTGCCTTCGTGTCAATCGGTCGAGCCTCGAAGGTCGGATAACCTTCATCGTCCAGAATATCCTCCCCCTCCCTCGTGGCTCATCTGGCGGGATGGAAGCTATCAACATACCGACAAAGAGTATCGTAAGCCTTCTCGTCTTCGGAGCTCATATCGCCCGCGGACGTATGGTAATACCCGGTACCATGCTCGTAATGCCTCGAGATCCAATGCACGGGAAATTTGGCCGTGCGTCCTAACACCGGACGTCCTTCGCCGTCCAAAAGGGCCTCCCTGTCGTCGTCGGTTATGACCGCTTCCTCCTCATACACGGACTCTAAACCTGTTGTGGTAACCGGCCTCACAACATACCACTTGTCTTTAAAACCCCGCACGGAGTCCATGTACATCCTGAAAAGTCTCTTCGACTGTTTCAGGGAAACCCAGCTATGCTTTCCTCCCCGAGATTGGCGCTGTAGGTGGAAGACTCTGAAGAAGAGGGGTATGGTCGCCCCAATCCTCAGAAAACGACAAGTTAGCTCAAACGCCCGATAAACGCGAGCGAATTTGGGTGAAGCTGCGACGGGGCCAGCCCCAGGTGGCTGAATACCCCGACCTGGAAATCGCTGAAGGGTAGATGTAACCCAAGGTCTTTAAAGGCAATTTCATACATAGGGAAACTGTACTCGGGGAACACCGAGCAAATTCGAGCAGTGAAAGATGGCCGAGTGACCACGAAATTCTTTTGGAAATCGGGCTGGTTGTGGCCCGCCTCGAGGATAGTGTATGCCCTTCGGCTACGTCGACTATAGACCGAAGCTATTCCTCTAGGTTCGGCACCCACCCATTCCAGCAGAGGGTCCTCTACGGTGTCAACCAAACTCACATTCTCATCAGCACTTTGTTCTTCCACCTCGGGCCGTCCTGAAGAGCACGGTTCGTCCGCCATGGTTACCTACAAAGCACGGGAAACCAATCAATTGGGCGCGAAGCCATACGCTCGCCATAACGGACGAGATGAAGGGCACGACAAACCACATCGCTCCACGCGCGACTGCAAAGTTGGTATTTTGGAACAAAAGACAGCAGCCATCTCCCCGACTCCCAGATACCTCGACAGGTCCTCCTACAAGTCGCCTAAATAAACCGACAACTCAGTCACTCATGAATACGTCGACCCAGGGTATGAACACGGCGAGCAAAATCATGAAGCCTAGAGCTAGAGCTATGAGTCTACCGGGCACGATCACGAATTAGGCGCCCTGGATCATGAAGACCGCGGGCAGCACTGCAAATTAAATCCTAAAATATGCATTTACCGGGCACGAATATGCGCTTGCCGGACATACGTATGGATCCGTCGAGCTAAATATGAATCTATCGGGCTAATCCTAGGCGTACAGTCTCTAAACGTCTAAAAACGATGAAAAATCATGCATCACAACAGAAAAACAAAGGAGACAAGTCACTCACTTGGAATCAAGAAGAAAATTTGACGACGGAGGAAAGGAATCAGCGACGAAGATCGCGGCGGTCCTATAAGAATCTGGGAAGAACAGCAACAGCAGAAATAGAGTGAAGAGGAGAAGCGCGAAGAGTGGAAACATGTTCTGGGGCCCAAGGACCCTATTTATAGTGATGACGTGGAATACCAAACGTCACCTCGGGCAACCACGGATTCCCCTCCTCGACGCACAGCTCCCCTAGACAATGATGACCCTATCCTCCATAGGGTGGCGGCGCAGTTCCCAAAAGAGACCTCGCGTGCTCGACAGACGCAGGCTGCCGAGAAATCGCTCGAGCATTCCTCGCAGGAAACCTGTCCACGAGCACGATACGGGGAAACCCTCGAGTACCCCACGAGGAGCTGCATCTCTTGACCGGATACGGGGCCCCGCAACGGAAGCGACCTAAGATCAAGTCATGGCTCCTAACTCAAGGAACCACGACTTGAGGGGCTCCTGTTCTGGACTGGGCCGGGCTGGCCCAAGAGTAACGATAAAGGTCCAATCCAAACGGACTTGCTAGGGGTCACGCCGACCTAAGGACCATAGCTATGCCCGACATACGTCACTGGGGCGACATCCTCGACCTCGTACTATCCTGCTCGACCTCAGCTCGAGCACTCCTCCAACAGCGGACACGGTCCACTGCACTCTCAACGGGACCCCGAAAAGACCGCGTCCTTGTCCGCCCGCACTTCACGCAGGACATCCAGGAAGGGGACCACGTGCGGGTCCCCACTACGCACGTACAACCTGGCAGTTCCTCCATTGGGTCAAACCTGCCCGGCCCAATGAAGGAACCTTGACCCAGCGCTGGGGGCTATAAATACCCTTTGTTCCCAGAGGGTCAGGTATTCATTTTATCACATATACTCACACTTTGCCTGCTCGTACTCTTACTTACTTCAGCATCGAAGTGCCTTGCAGGTACCCCCCCACCTCGTTCAAAACTTCAGCTCGGAGCCAGCCGTGACGGTCCAAATCTGATCAGGTTAGATCAATTACCCAATAACTTAGTGGCCCAATTCTGCTGGTCAGGGGTGGTAATTTTCTGTTGGCAGAGTGGTTAGAGGCTCTTCTGGTCCGCCGTGACCTTTAAGTGTCGTCCAAAAAGATAGGGGCACCAATGTTGCACTGCTAATGAATCAGCCATCAGTTCTTTTTCATATGCTGATTTAGCCAAGTTTTTACCTCCTAAAGCCTTGCTTAAGAAAGCAATGGGCCTGTTATCTTGCATCACATTCCACCACATAAAAGGGAGGTGCACGGGATAAGGTCTTTACACGCCCATCACATCAAGAGCTCGTGGATAGGAAACAAAAGGGCCTTTGTTATCAATGTGGGGGCCCATTTCATCCCCTCCATCAGTTTCCAAATAAGTAGTTATGTTTGATGATTTTGGATGATGACTGCGGAGGAGGGGAGGAAGCCAAGTTGTTGGCAGTAGAAGTGGAAGAATCTAAGGAAGAGTAGGATGGGGAGATTAGAGTGATAAATCTATATGAGATGGAGGACCCAAGGGGGTGAACGATAACAAACACTCAAACTACAGGCAATGATTAATGGTGTTTTGGTGGTGGCTTTGGTCGACAGTGGGGCTACGCATAACTTCATTGTGAAACCTCTAGTACAAAAGTTGGGATGGAGCATCGAAACTACTCCAGATTTCAGAATCAAGTTGTGGATGGCTTCCAAACAATCACGCGAGGGAAGTGTACGCAGATAATGCTCAAAACAGGAGAGGTGGCGAGTGAACTATCTTTTTGATGTTGATGTGTTGAGTAAAGGTTTCGAAGAGATTCATCTTCATCGTTGTAGATCCATCTTTTAGTGTGGAGATTGTTCTGTTTCAGTGTTTAAAGCTATGGATATGGATCATAGGCTCATGAAACCATATTAGAAATCTAGTGAGGGTGATGATTTCATCAACTTGAGAATTCTAAAAATGAAAAGGAGAGAGAACTATGTTTCTTAGTCTGTTATAAATGAATTGAAAATGATTATATGCTAACAATGAATAGTTTGATGTTATTTATATGTAGTTGTGACTGAACTGAGATAGTTAGAACCTAGTTACAACTCAGCACAGGATTGTAACAGCCTTCTACATAATTATAATTTCAACTAACTAATCTCTTTATTAATTGTAAATCTGATTTGCTAATTATATGCGATGCGATGCAGTTACAGGTGTATAAATAATGTGCCATTTACTCTAATAGGAACATCATAGCACGTGTTTGGTCCATAACAAATGTCCATTTCAAATATGAATGATGTATAAGCATTAATCTCTTTATATCCATACCTGAAGAACCTAGATAGGCCGTTTTGCTTGGTTCACTGGCTAACTTTGTCTCCTCGGCCAAAACATCGATCTTTTCATCTTTGACTTCTGCAGTAGCATATTTTTCTCTATTGACCATCTTCTCACGCAGCAATCTAATTTCCTTCATTTTATCTTCAATAGCTGCCGTATTCGTAGCTTCCCTGACATCCAGAGTCTCTTTTACTGAGCCAAAATCATTACCTTGCAATAACACATGATGCAGTAGATTAGCCAACAAAATACTTCAAGTTTAGAAAATGAAAAGCAGTAGTCTATGTTCCTCATAAAACATTGTTACCTTTTCCACAATCTAGAAAATTAAATGACTAAGAACTCCGCATTGTAAAATAATTCACAAATAAAAGCACCTAAATAAAATGTTGAACCTCATATTTACTAATCGCATTAAAGGTGTTTGCTACAAGGCATTCTGTTACCAAACTAAAAAGGCATAGGTGGAAGAATGTAGAAGTCAATGTACCAAACAATGTTAGTAGACAAAAGACATTGTTTTCCCACATTAAAGCAAATGTAATTGTAAAGAATTGCACATCGGACAATATATGGACTATGGCCTGAACATGTGCTTATTAAGGGGAAATTCTAACCCTACAAATCAGTTTTGTAGGGATAAGTTAGACCCAACCATATTTCTAAACATGATATCAGAGTCAGCTTTAAGATTCAGACCACCTACTATCAGGTTTCTACTACCAGACCATTCACCATTTATTTCCGTGCTCCAAATATTCAGTTCTGAGCGTTAGGAGATATGCTAAGAGTCTCACATCAGACACTATATAGTCTAAACTAAGTTGTTAATCTCGGATAGCGGCGCGTAGCGCCGAACCCCCAAAATGCTATAGCGGCATAGCGGATAGCTGGATGACCGCTATTGTGAGCTTTAAAAACCAAGGTAATATTTAACATGAATACTTAAAATAAGTTCCAACAACATACATAATGCCTTAAAAACAAAAGTTACAACAACATACATAAATTCCAACAGCACCACAATATAAATTCTCATCAAAATCAAATTATAAATGTGCTAAAAATGACTAATGCAAATTCTAAATGTAAACAAACATAAACAAAATGACTAAACCACATTTCTCTCATCTTTATTTCTAAGTTCCACCACATTAATATAATCTTGCTCACCACTTGATTCAATTTCAAACTCTTCTTCTTCCACCTCCAACTCCTCATCTCCATTAGACACTAATGTAACAAGTCTAGAGTTATGTCTAGTAACTCTTGCAGGTTCATTAGCCCAGCATTACCAACAACTTCCCAAGTCAAACCCTCTTCTCCCAAAACCAAATAGATGAGAAATCAGCAAAACAGGAGAGAAATAGACGCGAATGAATGAGAAAGCGAAGAAAAGGAGGAATGTGGAAGAATGGATGAGAAAGATCCACGACTTGTTGATTTTTAGGTTGAGAAGAATGTGAAAGAAGAAAACTTGCTTCATTTGAGTAAAGAGAGAACTGGAAATGACCAAGTGCATCACTAGGAGCTTTTAAATTAGTCAAATAAAAGGGAAAAATACTAATTTGCCTTGGAAAAAAATTCAAACTTACAATATTACCTCTTCACAATAGCGGTCTGTAAACCGTTAAAGAACCGCTATAGCACCGCCGCGACTTCACAAATAGCGGCCGCTATTTCCGCTATTGCAGATAGCGGTTAGCATCCCAAAAGCATAGCGCTGAGGTCCTGGACTTCTACGCTATGCCGCTATAGCGCGCTATCGACAACCTAGAGTCTAAATATGTTCTTACAACTGGAGGCAATCCTTACCCTACAAACTAGTTTTGTAAGGTTGAGCTAGACTTAACCACAACTCTTAAAGAGTAATAATCCCATCCCTAATTTGGAAAACACAGCACCATTGACAGATTGACATAGATAATCACCAACCATTCTAAATTTTTTTTCTTCACTCCACAAATCACAAAACGTGTGTCCTATATAGCCTCAACAATCTATTTTGACCTCATTAGTAATAAAACACATTGCAATTTTTCTTTTTCTTTCTTCAAATAATATAAAAGAATACACACATAGATAGTCTCAGGAAAAACAACTGTTAGAATCTCCGTACCAGTACCAAAAGCATCTTCTGGACCGTCTTTTTTTCCATCATGAAGGGGTTCCTCTCCACGCTTTTCACCTCTAACAACGTGCACCTCAATGTCAAAATTGAGTTTTCCCAAATTTATGAATTGATCTTGTTTTATTTCTCCCACTTTCTCTTCAATTGCAGACTTCAAAGCCGCTTCCCTGACCACTAGGGTTTCTGCTAGCATAAAATCAATATGTTAGTCCAACACAGTAGAGTAGATTAGCCAACAAAATACTTCAACAAGTTTAGGAAATGAAAATGAAAATGAAGAGCATTAAAGTCTAACTATATTGTTAATCTCATAATAGTTGGAGCAATATAAAGAGGTATAACAGACAGTAGGATTGTCGATATTGCAAAGTCTTAGAATTTAGATTGGGCCTAACTCATCACTAAATCAGCATGTAAAATGAGGATTGCTCCCACTTATAAACACAACACTAATCATATCTCTAAGCAATGTAGGACTAAATTCACCCCTTCAAACCCAACACAATGAAGGTGTTCGAAGCTGCAATGAAGGAGAGTCAAATGATGCAATTTTAGGTAACTAGTGGTGGACCGCAATACGGGCGAAAATTCCAACACACCCCGTCACGCTAGGTCCCCAATGAGGCTGAAACGCGGACATGCAGGAAGGTCTAACAAGTGATCAAGAATAGGTTCTGACATCATCTCAGAATTTGAGTTGGGTCTAACTCATCCCTACAAAACCGATGTGTTAAGTGAGGATTGTTCCTACTTATAAACACAACACAAGTCACATCTCTAAGCAATGTAGGACTAAATTCATTCCTTCAAAACACAATGAAGGTGTTATAGGCTACACTGAAGGTGTTGGAGGCTGCAACGAAGGCAAGCTAAATGCCACAATTTTAGATGACTCTAGGGACAGACTGCAATGAAGACGGAAATTCCAACAACTTAAAATAGAATACAAACTAACCATAAATCCCACCGGCATACAAAAGTAATACAAAAAAAAAAATAGAGTAAAGAACTTTTTCTCTAAACTTTTCTTTAAAAATATTTCCCTTTAATCATATCAAAACTTTTCTTTAAAAATATTTCCCTTTAATTAAAATATTTTTTCTCCACTATTGATAATAACAATAATTAAGAACAGGAAGTAAAGAACAAAGTATGTTTATACTAGTTCACTTGAAAATTATCAAGCTAGTCTAGTCCACCGCCAAGGTGATTTCGCCTTATCAAACAAGGACTTAATCCAATAATCCAACTGATTATTACAATGCACAAGCTACCCGCAAGTGACTAACAAAAATTTCTAAGACACACTAATCTTAGACTTCTTAAGGATACAGACCTAACTGGTCCCTTAAGGAAAATCAAATCTCTAAGACACACTAATCCTAGACTTCTCAAGAATACTGACCTAACTGGTCTCTTAAGGAAATCAAACAACTGTTTGAATACAAGTTTTATTTACAAGAATATTGCTTCTACATAAGCTGAATATGTAAACTATTTTTATGAAAGGTGACTTAAGAAAATAGTAGCTATACACAATAAGACATTTTGCGTGAATGAATAATGAATTAGCCGCTTTTTCTCTTAGTCTTCAAGCTTTTATATAGCCAATAAAATAATATAACCATTGAAGGGTATTTCTGAAAATTCCAGAAAGATTGGCGGCTTGAGCAATCACGTGGGGGACAAGATCGTGCGACACGTCTGTCCTTTCATGGTAGTGGAATGAAACGTTGATTGTACCATGTACTATTTGTATCACGTTAACGTTATCTTCTTTCCTTCTGCACTTTAAAGGCTTCTGCGAGCATGAGTTTAGAAGCGAGAACATAACACAAGGTCATCAGAACTTCAAGTCTTCAGAACTGCGTCTTCAAAGTCTTCAGCAGTTGGTCGTGAGAACCTTTTTCTAGAACCTTGGGTCTTCAGAACTTCAAGCCTTCAACGCTTGGTTTTTAGAACCCTTTTCTTAGAACCATGGGTCTTTATAAACTTGAGTCTTAAGCATCTGGACTTAAGTAGAAACTTCTGTCTTCAGATCTTCTGACTGGTTTCTTTAGAACACGTCTTCAGAAACATGAGTCTTTAGCATGTAGACTTCAGTAGAACTTCTGTCTTCAAATCTTCTGACTGATTTCTTTAGAACACGTTGTCTTTAGAAACATGAGTGTTTAGCATCTGAACTTTAGTAGAACTTCTGTCTTCAGATCTTCTGACTAGTTTCTTTAAACTTCATATCAGAGCATACACTTCAGAGTCTTCTGGAGTGTCTTACTACTGTACATCAGAAGTTGTGTAGCGCAGAAGCAGAACTAATTCTCTTCTAATGTCTTGGCCACGCCATCCATCAGAAGCAGAACCTGTTTGCTAAATACTCAAAAATAACTAACATTAGAGTATCAAAATTGTTCATACAAACATACTCATTTGTCATCATCAAAACTCAGAGATAATATTGCAGAACCAAATCTTGTTCTAACAATCTCCCCCTTTTTGATGATGACAAAACTATGTATTTTGATGACACAAATTTGTTCATATAATCAGAAAAATTGAAAATAAAAAGGTAAGGAATACTTATCCTTTTTATGAAACTCCCCCTGAGTCAACGACTTGATGAAGCTCAAATATCCTGACTCTAAACCATTTGAGTAAAACTCTCCTTGATTCCAATAGATCAGATATTGAGATATTGAGAGTCATGACTCTTGATGCCAATGAAATCAATTGAAATCTTGAAACTTTAATGTCACTGGAACAGCTTCTAGATTCTCAATTCTTAGAGTCTGATTATGAACTGAAAAATATCTTCAGAGTCTGAAGCCAACAAGTTAGACATAAGCCTTGCATAATGCTTTCAGATCTTTGTCTTTAATCAAAGTTCTCATTTCCTGAAAAAGAAAACAATTCTAACAGAAACAGAAGTTTGACTGACTTAGAATGTAAACAGCTCTTTTCAGAGAACATTTTCCAAAACTTGATTATTGAAATCAAAATTACTTTCATTTAATTACTCTCCTTTTTGTCATAATCAAAAAGGTAATTATGTGCGAAAAACATAAAAACCAGAAGAAATAACAAGTAAGAAAAGAAGTTTCATTGATATTTGAAAACGATTACAACAGAAGGAGAAACAACAGAATGAAAACAAACGGGGAAATCTATCTAAACTTCAAACACATCACAACTCTCACCAAATAGAGCATTGCCTCTGATGAACGGGTTTCTTCGAACAGTTTCAATTACACCAGCTAACTCAAACAGTTCAGATAATACACGTCCATAAGGAATGAATGATTTTTGGGAGTTTCTGAATGCAAGGATTGATAGCTTCAGATGATTAAATATTATTGCCGAAAGATGAATTAGAGTACTCTTGCGAAGGCAATAGAGAAGACACATATCCCTAAGAAAAACTTTAACAAGATCTTCCCCTCTGGGATGAAGGTCTATTAACAAGAACTGAAACCAAATTTTTGCAAGCGGTTTCAAATGATCTGGATTAAGGGACTCATATCTAAAAGGAGAATTAGGAACTCTGGAAAACACATCAACATTCATGCAGGAGTTGGATAAAGGTGGACGCTGCATGACTTCATCAATGGAGGAGAGAGTGATGGTAATCGGAATACCAAAGATATGAGAATGAATGAAGTTTCTATCAAAACTGACAAAAACATGAAGCCAAAAATTCTTCAAGAGGATAGGATAAATAGAACCTCTAAGCATTGTTACATACCCAGACCATCCTTGATTTTCAATAAAATCGTTGATGAAACCATCATCAAACACATAGTTGGGTCTTTTCTCTTTGATTACGTCGAGAAGATTTTCATCTCCTTGAAAGGTTCTAACAGCCATGGTATGCAGAAAAGCTTGAAGAGAAGAAACGATTGAAGATGATACAAAGATAAGGACTTGATGAAAGACTATAGATGAGAAGAGATATAATAGTCAGTCAAGTCGTTCAAGAAATGAGACGATTGAAACACTCATAGGAATTAATTTCGAAAGAGAGAGAGAGAATCAAATGACGTCACAGATTGCTAAAAGGAGGGAATGAAAAGAGAAGTAGATCAAAAGTTAAGATAGAAGAACACGAAAACACTTAATTAGAACCCGACAAAGAAGATCTTAGCAGTCATATCAGTCAAAAACATAGGAATACGACACGAAACAACTGTTCCCAAGACACAATAGAGAAGAGTAGTTAATAAATGTAATCATGATTAATCAATTCCAAGAAAAATAATTGCTCGTGCATTGCCTTGGTAGAGTGTGATAGACATTAAGTCTATTTAGGTGATACATTTGATATTCTCAACATCTAGAAAACTACGAAGGTTTCCATCTAATCAATGACATTTCTGACTGAAACATCTTCTGATGACTGAGATAAAAGAAATTAGAAGGCCTTTGATTGAGTCAGAATCTTATCACTTCAGATTAAGACTAAAACACGTTTGATTCTAATGACATCTTACTCTGGACAGAGATCCATTTTCAGATTCTTTAGAATAAACAAAAATCTATCTTCAGCTAAGGATTTTGTAAAAATATCAGTCCACTGATGGTCAGTATCTATGAATTTTAAAGATAGGATCCCTTTTTGAACATAGTCTCTAATAAAATGATGTTTAATTTCTATGTGTTTAGCCTTATAGTGTAAGATAGGATGCTTACTCAAGCAAATAGCAACAGTATTGTCACAAAAGATAGGAACGCTACTCTCATAAATCTGATAATCTTCCAACTGATTCTTCATCCAGAACATCTGAGTGCTGCATAGTACTGTTGAGATATACTTTACTTCTGATGTTGAAAGAGCAATTGTTGATTGCCTCATGCTTGACCATGAGATCAGATTCTTGCCTAGAAACTGACAATTTCCAGAAGTACTCTTCCTCTCTAGTCTATCTCCAGCATAGTCTGCATCACAGAAACCAGAAAGAGTATACTCTGATGTTTTCTGATACATCAATCCAAGATTATGGGTTCCTTTCAGATACCTTAAAATTCTCTTAACAGCAATTAAGTGAGATTCCCTAGAATCTGATTGAAATCTAGCACATAAGTGAACGCTAAATAAAATATCAGGTCTAAAAGCAGTCAGATACAGAAGAAAGCCTATCATACTACGATATAACGTCTGACACACCTTTCCACTCACCTCTTCTTTCTCC